CAGTCCTAAGCGTAAGTAGCTGCCGGCGCCTGGGTCACTTCTCCGGGCTCGGTTCTCCTCTTCCTGGATAACCAGGACTCTCTTCGGGCTGTCTGGCTCGGAGATGAGTTTCCGGAAGACCGCCTCCCCTTCCCCGCGGTTTCTTCTCGCCGTTTGACACCGCCCTTTTTGGGTCATTGTCTCTCTTCCTCCGGCTGCCGAGGGTGAAAATGTATCTTTCGGAGGAAGAGACGACAGCTCTAACCCGACCAGAGATTTATCGCCGGGGTGTCCCGTTTCCACGGGGAAGTTTACTTGGCCGGCGTTTATTTCACCGCGACTCGATCGAACCACCCTTAAATTTTTCACTCGAAAATATCCGACACGAAAATTTCTATTCGAATTCGCATCTACCGTCGGTGTCCAAATTCGTGGAAACGAAATTCGAATAATCGCGTACGAGAATCGGAATGAATTGCACGTTTGCTCCGGTTTTCACGCGCTTCCCGTTATTCTCGTTCTCGTTTCGCGGTAAAACTCGGAAATGCTGTGTTTCGATATTGTAAGTCGTGTTCGATGATTCGTGAAACTGTACCATCGATTTTGCGCCGATATCCCTAATTATCCTCCCCGTCCATAGCGACGAATCGCGGATTCGAAATTATCCTTTAACTGCCATCCGGTGAGCGAACAAGCGCGTCGCGACAAAGGGTAAACACTACAATTAAGCGACGTCGAACTGTTTTGTTTTTCGCGTTAATTTGCACGGCGAGTGCCAGCTCAACGTTTTGCGGAAGGAAAATGGAAAAACGCGAAAAACGATGGAAAAACGGGGAGCACAGAGGGGAAAAGAAATAGGAAAGCAGAAGTGTTCCGCGTATGGGAGCGACGCGAAGTATGCGTGCGTGCGATTAAGAGATGCGAGGTTAGGGGTTCGGGAACCCGGGGTCAGGCCAGTCAGCGGCGTTAATTGCTTTTCTACCCACGGTAACTTGATATTGCTACCATTCTACGAAACGCTTATATAGCCTTGCGTATTAGGATTTTCTTAACCATCCGTACGATATTAAACGGAGTACGTAATTGTCGGGAAAAATGTAAATTTATTTATCAACAGCTTGAAACATCGCAAACACGTCGGTGCCCGATGAAACTTGCTTGTTAAAATTCCCGTGTGCGGTTTTGAGTGCACTTACAACTTCTCCAGGGTTACGTATTAAATTTACCGCGGGCAAGTTTCCGCAAACAACCGCGGAAAAATTAAATATGTAACGGGATGGAACTTTTCACCGAACTAATTTCCCTAAACTGACACGGATAAGAGCTGGCTAACGTTTCGACGCGCGCTGTTACATTATTTACGTATAAATAGTTGTGTCGCTGTTAGAGAAGCCACTGGGTTTTCCTGAATTTCAAGCAACGCGTCTGGGCCACCGTGTAACGCCGAACTCGCCGCAGGAATTATTTAACTTTTAAATTTATTAATTTACATTTTTCCCCGTCGCTTATGTCTGCGCCTCTCCGCGAAGCCGTGTTTTTAAACGAAACCGCTATTTCCAGGCGAGCTAAAGCGATCTCTCCCTCTACATCTTCTCCTTCTCTCGCTATTCGAGTCGAGTTTGAATCTTGAAAGCAGAAGGTGGATAGCTCCCTTGACAAATTTGCTCCTTTTTGGAGGATCGTTTCGATCGGACAGAATCTTGTCTAGAACGACCACCGATCGCGTGATTATTTACGTAGCTATCCCGGAGCGCTGCTTTAGCTCTAGTGTTCTCGTTTGAGATCGTCAAAACCAGGTACAGACGCGACTGTTTATACCGTTGAAACCAGATGTTTGGTTCACAGGCTAGTTCAAATGTGCTCCTCCGTACAAGAAACCAATATCACACGCTGTGTCCGTTACGTGCGGGTAAATACTACTTATTATCTCCCAAAATCGCCACCTAATGTTCAACAACAATCTGTAAATTCGTGTCCTCCCTAAACCCTTTGAAGCTTTCCGTAAAATTCGTCCGTAAGTCTCGAAAGAATTTCCCCCCTTAATCATTCCCCTTTAAAACGCGTGATCCTTCGTTAGCGGGTGAAACGAGCCGAGATTAAGGTCGATCGAGACGAAGAAGAACGGCAGTTTTTGGTCAACCGAGGCCCCCCATTTAATTAAAACCAGCCGTCACGATTTCTCGACTCATCGTCGTCAAACAGACGTCGAAGTTGGCCCGCTGGAGCCAGCCAAACGCGGAACGAAAGGCGAGGGGGTTGAAAAGAAATCGTCGAGCGTGTTTTCTCTGACACAGATTTAACGGAAGTACTTACGCAGCCCGGCAATTTGAGGATTGCCGGGGAAGCTCGCTGCGTGCTGCGGTCGCGACGCTGCGCGGACGTTTATGGGAACACGTGCGTGTCATAAAGCGGATGTTTCCTCGAAAAAACATGGAAACGAAGGCGGACACGGAGGCGGTCTTATTTCGAAAATAAATTCAACCCCGATACGCGTTACTCTCGGATCTTACTCGGTTCCTCTTCCAACAAGGGGAGACGAGAGTTGAAGCGAGGGGAAATCAAGGTCTCCGAAGGTATTCACCCCCTAAGCTTGAAATTTAGGGCGGAATTAAAGTGATCCTTTATCATTCTTCGGAATTAAAGTCCAATCAATTTTATTCCTGTAGGAGGAGATTTGTTACGATAAGTTGGAAGATTCTCGGGATCTGACCGGAAAATATTCCGCCATTGGTAATTTCTTCCGCAGATGGGGCCACGACGAAGGTTATCTTTAAACGTCAAAGAATTCGCAACAAACGAGTGGACGAGTCGAAACGGTCGTTCGAGGAATAAAGCCGCTGCGTGGGATTTTTAAGCAAACATTCAATTTCATGGTCGACAGCGTGACTAAATTGTCAAAATTGTAACAATAACGGCGGAGGGGCAGAATGGCGAAGAATCGCGCGTCGTAGAGTGGATGGGGAACGGAATGACGTCCGCGTAATGGAATATAGCAGCAGAAATTTAATTTTGCCTTACAAATCCTCGGCCCGCGGTTGGTGTGGACAATTACGAGGTAATTGTTAATACGACTTGCAATTTGCGCCGGGGGTAACGCGTTTAAATTCTCATGCACGCTTCATTTGTTCGTTCCCCATTCGCGAAGCGCTATAGCATCTCGATTGCGACGATCGATTTATATTTTCCGACAAAATTTATCGAAGACACGGATATATCCGAGGCAACGGCTATTTTTAACGGGACGACGCGTCGCGACGCCTTTCCAATTCGGAAACGATCGAATTTGAATTTTTAAATTCGAATAACTTTAATTGACACGGTCGAATGAGAAAATCGAAGCTGGCTGATTTTCGGATTTTTAAATTAAAATTCGCCAACGTCGAAATTAGGAAGGTAACTATTTTGCTCCTTTCAGGCATTCCGCGCGGTATTCCAATTAATTTCTGCATCATGAATTCGATAATTTAACGCGAACGAATTCGGGCAGGATCTATTTTTAAAAGAAGGATCAGCTGCATTGTTCCGCAGCCCGGAAACCGATTCACGGAGCAAGTTGAAAGTTTTCGATTGGTCGACAAACGATTTCCATTGGTCGAATAGACGACGAGTTTCGGCCGGCCGGTGTGTAGAGCTCGTTAACGCGTTCGCGTCCAATCGAATTGAGCGGATCGGGCGCAACGTCGATTAAAATTCTCTACATTAATTATCGAGCGTTAGATTGGAACGTGAAACACAGTTAATTGACGAAGAATGAAATTTCGAATGATTGCGACGCGGATTGCCGTCGCTCGCCGACGAAATCGATCCCGGCGGAAAAATATGGAAACGACGTTCAGGCACTGTCATTTGAATATCTAAATTTACGGAGCATGAGGTCACTTGCAATTTGCGACCACCATCGCCTAACAGCCTCGGAGTTTCGTGCTTAGAATCTTGGTCGGCGTGCTTGCATGCCTCGAATCCGTATCGTACAAATGTTTTGATACGCGAAGATATATTTAACACGAAGAGCTCGATGATTCTCCAAACACAATTATCTTTCGAATATTTGTTCTCGTTGCCATTGTTACGTAAACCGGACGCCGTGTCGCCCCGCGGGGAGGAAAAGCATTTTTGTCGGTCTAAAATTGACTCGTCACGAGAAACGCCGAGAGTTGGAAAAATTCTTAAGAAGATGGAGATGGCGACGACCAGGCGGCCGGTGGTGATTTGTGGGAAAAGTTTGGCAAAATTGAGACGACGCTAGGCTTGATGAGCGTATCGTGATTTATGCGGTTCATTTCTCAGGTGGGATTGTCAGATTTCATATCGTGGAACGAATGCGGGGAACTTTCCGCTATTTCCGTGTCGACAATTCGCAGCCTCGCTAGTGCCTCCATTTTTTCTTCCCTTTTACTCTTGGAAAATTCGACGTAATTCCCGAATATTCATCTTCGGATATATTCGCCATTTACATCGATTCCAATACGTTACCGCATTAATTCGCGTGCTCGTTAAAAATATCCGAGCAAGAAGAGGCAAAAAGATAATCCGGAAAAGGGGGACATAGAAAGCAGATTGTCGGGATACGGTAAAGGGTAGGAATTATTTTATCTTAAATTTCGAACGAAAGCATCAGAAAAACATCCATACCGCTAAAGCCAATGCTGCTAATGAGAACGTATATCAAATTCCGGATGACGTTCCACGCTGTGAAACATGAAAAATCGGCAAGCTAAAAACGTGGCTCGGGATTGTACTATTGCCTTATCCGACCAATTACTTCGAAGCTTTTTCAGAGGTTTTTCCCATCGAATCGTGCAACCCCCGCTCCCGTGCTTCATCGCGTGCATCGCGAGTGAAATTTCAACCGTTCACGGATAATACCGAGCACGAGCGCGAATTCCGAAACGGCCTAGGATCTCTGTCCATGATCGTTTGGGAAAGAGACAGCAATCGCGGGGTGCAAGAGGAAGAGAAAGACAGGAAAAGGGTCGGGTAACGAAGCGAAAAAGAGAGTAAGGTGACGATCGAATACCAACCGGAGAGAATCGTGACAGGCAGCAAGGCGCAGATGCCCAAATACACCAGCAACACTGTCCAAGTGTGACGCGGCTTCTGGCAGAGGTCCAGCTTTTTCCCGCTCGCTAGGCCACCGATTCTTGGCCCCTTCATCGTGCCTCGTGCCGCATAGTTTTCGCCTCGGCCACGTAAACGCCAGCAACACAGTCGGATTAGGGTCCAGCCACTTTAATAATGCCTCCTTCCCGACCTTTCTTCCCTCCTTTCTTCCCTCCTTTCTTCCCTCCTTTCTTCCTGCCCGGCTACCACCCCCGTTGCCTGGTGACGCAGGATTTCGCAACGAATTCGGAACGTACCGATTTACCCGCACTAACATTCCACTATGCACCGAGCTGAACACACGCGACTCGGAGTGGGTCTTTCCTTGGTTCACATCGCGGACACTTGACGCTCGAACGAACACTTTGCGCGAACACTATGCCACGGTATATATAGGCTGAGCACACGGGACCGAGCTTCTCCTGTGAGTCGCTGCTCGACTCTTTTTATTTACGATAGTCGAGAAGTGGTTTGTTCGCGAGCATGGTTGGAGATAAACGCGGATAACGGATAAGAACTCGAAGCAGGTCTAATGGACCCGGCTGTGTGTATAGGTGTCTGTGTCCGTAGCGTGTACGCTCGTCGCGTGACGTTTTTGCGATGGCCCCGTGTGAAGCTCGAGATAAGAGCTCATTTACCTAAGGATGTGCTGCCAAGCAAAAGTTGGAGGATATAGTTGGCCGGAGAATCCGGCAGCTTCCACCGACGTGGCTCCTTTACAAGTACGACGCGTGGCTGCGCCCGTGGTAATAGTTTTTAACTGCATTTTTATCTCTTAATAACGCGCTGGCGCGCGTCGTGCTGCCTGTTACCACGGTGCATCGCGATTTCCCCGCGAGATCGAGGCTCGATACGTGCTTCTGGATTACCTCGATACCCCTGAAAAATGAATATCGTCGGAGGAGTCGGATTAAACGCCGCGCCGGGGTATTATGTTTTTTCTACTTGTTCTCGGACGGTTTCGAGGGCGACGCGCGGCAGCAGGATGTTTTAATATAAAACACGAGGTGTTTGAGTTTAATACGTGACAAGTATCGCGGGGTTAATTGAATCTAAACGTCTGACGTGGAAATTGAACGATAATACCGCAGGAATAAACCGGTGGCCCGGAACTCGACGTACCGGGAATCACGTCGATTAATTTTCTCGCGTCCCCCTAGGAATTTTCCCGTGAAAATATTTCACCGGCGAGAAACTCGAGATGCTAAAATTCGACGTGGAAACGGGTCTCGTGGATACGATTAACTGCTATTAATCCGCGGACAGTCTAAGATTAATCCCGGCGACGAAGATACCCGCAGGAGTGTCCCTTTCCGTCCGTTGAAACAGAACCGAGTCGGCCAAGTCTTTGAGAAACGAAGGGAAAGCAGGGCAGAGAGTAACACCGTCGTCGTGGAAAGCAGCGTAACCCATTTCCCCGATGCCCATAAATTAGTCCATTCGCCACGGCTGGAATTCTTATGCATTTATTGCCGGTACGCTGAGTGGCGAGGTTCTCTGCGAAAACGCAGTTTACCGGCGGATCAACTCGGCCGGGTTTGAATTAAAACGGATCCAAGTAGGTAATTACATCGCTTTAATTAATTCTTCAGACTGCCGACGGACAGCAGCCGACTCTGCGCCCTCGTGTCGGTGCACCAACACTGGCCACGAGACGAGGACGACGATGATGACTTGTCACGTTGAAGACGACTCGCAGTTACTCTCCTGAGAAAGGAAAGTTAAATTGCACGAGGGTACGGGACACGCGACGATCCTTTGCGTGACTGCAGGGGGATGAACGCAATGGCGAAGAGGAGGATGAAACGGACCGATAAATCCAATCGCTCTAGTGTTGGCACAATTTTCGTTTATTTCCCTATCGGTTCGGTAATGGTAAAAACGTAAACGTTTGTTTATTCGCGATGGGAAATGGGAATATGGAACAAAGGGAACGAGCTTAAAGAATGTCTTGTAAATTATGAATTGTCGCGCTGTTTATCGAGAAAACGTTCGATCCTGGAAGATTTGCAGCGACGTCGGGGGGTCGGAGGTCCCCGAACCGAAAGTGGAACGCGAAGAATTGTAAAAATTGCCAGGGAAGATTCGAAGTTCGAAGTGGATAGCTTCGTAACACAAGTGTCTCCGCGGTTTCTCGATCGAGTACGACACGATTATTTGTCACTCGTCGAGGTGCACAGCCGTGCTCCGCGACGCTCGACAAATCGTCATTGATTTAAAACGGTCGGGGTGAAAAAGCGCGATATAACCTCGATGAAATTTGATTTTCCACGTCGACCCTGTCTATCGTCGCGTGTCTTATATATTTACTTTGTAAGACCGACGAAAGAATTGCGTACTGTCAGCCAGAGCTCGACGCCGTCTGGGGACATCGACGGATCAATTTTTAAAGCGCGGAGGGCTGCTGCCGAGAACAATGGCGACGCTGATGCGAGACAGTCGCAAATTATCCCTGCGAGGTATCATTAATTAATAGGCTTGTTAAGTCGCGTCGTGCAGCGCGAAGAGACGCGAGAAGTTGGACAACGGGAGGGCTGCGACGTTTCCTGCGATATCCGACTTCCGGCAAACGCGACACGCGCGAAGATTCCCAGCAGATGCAACGTCGGGCGAATTTTTTGCCAGCCATCGTACGTCGTGGAAACGAAGCACGACTAACAGCTAGACGAGGGGAATTCCTCGAAACGCGACACACTGGTGCAATTTGAAAAGGAAAATTCCCATAGTTCCCGTTGTCGCGGGGGTTGCGTTTGAAACGTACGACCCGGCGGCGGTTGAAGATATCCGAAGACGAAAGGAGGGTGGGAATTACGCGTTGCACAGGTGCGCGGCATGGAACGTAAAGCTCGAGGACGCGTAAATCGCGCGGCGCAGTGCGGGAACAGCGAGCATCCTGGATGTCGTCCGCGCGCGTATTCTTCCGTAAAGGTATGACGCACGAACTACGACCACGTTGGGAATAACGAAATTTTCAAGAGTCGGTGAATTAAAATTCAAAGCCTCGTACGCCGCGATGGCCGTGTCCCGGTTCTCACTCCGGGGACCGGGAAGGAAAAAATTCGAACGCGAGACTAATGTCTCGACGTAAATTCGCATCGTTAAATTTTAATCCCCTTCCTCGGTATTCTCGCCTCGTTTTATCCTCCCGCGCGTACCGTCTGTATTTTCGGCAGCGTGCAAATTTATTTCTCCTCCATCGAAGGTACGTGTCGCGGTGAAAAATTAATACCCGCGATCGTGAACTTGCCGAATGGCCGTCGACAATTGATACCGCGAGAGAATGGAGACGATCGGAATCGCGATGCACGGATATACATTATCGACGGGCTGCTGCTATTCGAGCAGGGCTCTTTTGAAATCGGAATAAACGCGGTTCCACGGAAAAGGAGCGTCGAGGGACTAGCGAGCTCTCGTTTTCGCGGAACGGCATATCCATTCGAACGACCGCTCGTCAGGAGCTGTCAAATCTCACGAGATCTCCTTTCGCGCGCTATTTATAGAGAATTCTGGTTGACGGTGTGGCAGCTCGGTTGCGCGGTAGCTCGCGCGTGCATCGTTCTGCATTAGCCCTCTCGTTTCTTCCACCTCCTCTTTGCTCTTCCGTGTGCGCCGCGTCTTTCGAGTGCAACGAGTGCAAAGCCCTTCTGTCCGGGCGTACACATAATTACCAAAGTTAATTAGGGCTTTGGAGATGAAAGAGAGTGAGAACGAGGGGCTGGATGATGGCGCGCGACCAGGTTTAAGGAGTGGAAGGGCGGCGTTAAAACGTTGTGAAACGACCGAAACCGGGCGTAGAAGAATCAAAAGGGTTTCCCCCGATTTGCGGTAGAATTTTCACGGCAGGGAAACGATGGGCTCCGGAAGTGGGATGCCCTCGAGGAAGTCGAAGAACACGCCGGTACTCGAAAAAAAAAAAAGAGAAAAAAGCTCGACGAGAGGACGAGATAAAGGAACTCGAATCCTCATCCGTCTTCAGCGTCTAACCCCTTTGCTCGTCGAACGTCGGTCGATCGAAGCTCGGGAAAATGTTGGGAAATTGTCGGGACGTAAACGAAATGCCGTTCAAAGTCGCTGCACTTGGCGTCATTTTATTCCCCAGACGCAAAAGTGAGAAGAGAGGCTGCTGGGCAGTTGAGCGGCTGTCCATCCGTGCAAATTTCACTTTTACTCGCGAATGGCAATTTTTTATCTCAACCCCGGCTGTTTTCCCGGCGAATGCGCTTCGACACCGGCGTGTTTGCACAAAGAACCGCCGTTGCACCGCGTTGGCCCGGCTACACCCTTCCATACCGCCAATTTTCCCCCGGCACTCGCCCCTATTTCGCCAGTCAGAGAGCACCAGGTCGTCACCCCGCGCCGTTCCCCAGCCGGCACTTGAGCACTCGTGCAATTGGTTTTTCGTGTTCGAGGCACTCCGCTCTGTCCTCGGAATCCTAATTTCGCGTTTTTCATTCGTTCACGTCGATGTCCCGTGAAAAGCAGTCTCGTCGTACGACAGAAGCGAAACCACCTCTTGCCCGATATCTGACAGGTACAGCGACTCTTTCGCTTTGCGATTTTTGCGCCGTCCAAGTGAGCAGAGGAATGGAACGGGAACGTTCTGCTGCCACTTCCGGTGTGTCGTTGGATCGACGGCATCGCCCGGACCCGCGTTGTTTTCTTCGCGAGACACGAGAGAAAATAGGGGAAAACGGAAACCGGAGAGTTTCGGCATAGCTTTACCTCGGTGTCTGTTTATGCTCGTAAATTCCACGGGAATCTTCGGCATTACGAGGAAACTTTTCCGTCACCCTGTAACATTCTTCGAATCACTGTACCGTTTCAGCGTAAAAGCTAGTCGACGACACCGATAACGAAACTCGCTCGCATTTCCCGATCACCGTTCCGAACCAGATCACCCGTCGCGAACGAACCGCGTCACACGCTCGAGCCAGCACCAGCACCGGGTGACCAAGTGAAAATCCGTAGGATCGAATCGGCGAATAATCGAAGGGAGCGCGCGGAGGCGCGTGGTACCGGCATGGGCGTGTAAGAAGCACTAAATCCTGATGCCCCGTCCGCGGCTAGCC